ATATATTATGACTAGACTTGAAGAGCCTTCTAAATAATGACACTATTCTTGAAATAAATCCACAATCACAAAAACTCTTTATCGTAGATCTTATAGTTAATCTTGGCTATTCAAAATTTCTTGGAATAGAAAGCTATTGGATGGAGTTTGTGATTTGTTCATATTTATGATAATACTATATTCAAAAAAAAGTCTCATGCATTTGTTTCCATAAAAGATGTCTTAGAAAAATTGATGCAATATAAAACAAGTATAGAAGTAAATTCTTTCTTCAAAGTAATAAATGATACTTCAGCTTCTTTATTCCACTTAAGTTTGTCTTTACAAGTCAAATGTGTAAAAAGAGCTAAAACTTGAAAAAAAATCTTGATAAAGATTTGGTAATAATTGGCAAAGCTCAAAAAGCATTGCATATCTCTTATTGTTTTTTGAATCTTCCAATCTATGATAGTTTGGATTTTCTTTGGATCTATCATAAGACCTTCATTGGAAATGATGTACCTGAAAAATTCAATTTGAGTAGTGTAGAATACACACTTTTCCATCTTCACGTATAAACTTACATCTTTTAGTTTTTGTAATACACAACAAATATGAACTTCATACTCTTCTATGTTCTTAGAATAGATTAAAATGTTATTCAAATAGTAGACAAAAAAATCATTAAAAAACTCACAAAAGACATCATTTATTAGATATTGAAAAGTAGTTGGTACATTTATGAATCCAAAAGACATGATATTATATTCGAAATGTGTATATCTAATTCAAAAAAGAATCTTCTATTCATTTCTTTTTTTGATGTTGACTAGATTATATGCTCCTCATAGCTCTATTTTTATATAGATCTTTGTTTAATTTATTTAATCAAGAATTCTTGAAATCAAAGATAGAAGATACCTATTTTTTATGGTAATCTTGTTAAGTCTTTGATAGTACATACACATCCACAAGGATCCATTTTTTTTTTCTTTATAAATAAGATGGGAGCATCGGCTAAAAATTTAGAATAGTGTATAAATTTTTTAGCCAAGTTCTCATTAATATACTCTTTGAGTGCAACCAATTTATTTTATAATAGACTATAGATTGGTCCAAATAGTAGTTGAGTTCTTTTTTGAAGATCAATAGAATAATCATAAAGATGATGCTCTGAAAGAATATTTGCATTCTTCTTTTCAAAAATATCCTGAAAATCTTGATACTGGCTAAGAATACCACTTAATATCTTCTCACCATCAGCAATGGGCATGGCATATATAGCAAAAATTGGCCCTTCATTTGCAACATGCATGAAAGCTCTCACACCTACCAATAATGGTTTGAATGTATTAAATTTATGGATTTTTACTTGCGTAGGAAGACCTTGGGCTAAACTATGAAAAAAATCAAGATTATAAGAAATCTAGTCTATCTAAGGATTATATCTTTCTAGTCACGATAATCCTAAAATAATTGGATTAGAAGGAGATTTAATTAGATTAAATATTACTAAACTATTGTGATCACTAGTTGCTACTTTTATAGAAATAATTTTATGTGTAATATCTCCAAAAGACAATGAACGTCCATCTAATACTTCTACATGCACAAGTTTGATTTTCTTAATTAATAATATATTTTTTTTTTGACAAATTTTTCATCTATAAAATAGGTTGAGGCTCCTAAATCCAACAAGGCTAAGACTTTGTGATTTTTTGGTCCTAAACAGACTTTTGTTGTGAAACAAGATAAGGAATCTGAGGAGAGAATGGGACCTTTACTAGATGTTGCATATGATTCTAACTACATGGCCTCTATTATAGGTGAAGCAACTCATTTTTTGACACATTGTTTTCTTTGGAAATTGTGCTTTTTATTTTGTAATTTTATTGTTTCTTTAAATAATATTGAGCAGTATATTTAGCTTCTCTATAATATAAGCATAAGCCCTCTTGATGTTGTTGACTCTTTTTTTGCTCTATGAGGGATTTAAAAAGTATTGTATCAATTTGCATTGGTTTTAGCCTTGATGAATAAGTTTTTGAAAATATAGGAATTGTCATCATTATTTGATTTATTCCTCTCCAGCCAAATCTTTCTTCTTGACATCTTTCAAATAATCGATTGTCATATGCAATGGCTTGAACAATGAATTGTTCTAAAGGTTTTGCCTTTGGCATTTTCAGTAACAAGTCTTTGACACTATCTTTTAAGTCATATCAAAATTCATTGATAAGGACTTTGTCATTTCAATCCACATCGCAAGTGAGATTTTGGAATTCAACAACATATATGGTAGGTGACCATGATCCTTGCCGTAAAGATAAGAGATTGGTCTCTACTACTCTTTTTCAATCACTTTCTTTGAATGAGACCGTAAACACTTCTAGGAATGAATTCAAATCATAAAAGAGTGGCAAATATTTTTCCATTAAATGAGCAAACTAAGAAAGAGTTCTTTTACATAGAAGTGTGTCTATGAATTTAACTTGAGTAAATCCATCAAAGTATTGGAAAAGATGCAACCTTAGATAGAACTTGACTTATTGTAAAAATCCTTGAAATTTTGATTTTATTCCATCAAACTTCTCAAGCTTATTAATCCTTATTCTCGTTAAACTTGTAAAAGCAAAAATCCCTAGATTTGGTTGTGACATTGATCTACTTGCTTACTTCAAGTACATAACTTCTTGTCATAGACTCTGAACTTCTTTCATAGGCATAGGCATAGTATCTCCATGATTTACATTAAAAATATGTGAGATTTTTACTTTTAGAGTGTTGAAAAGCTCATGAAGATCTACAATAGTTGTAAATCAATTCTCACTTTTGCTATGAGTAGCATCCATAATCTTTTCTTCTATAAAAAACTCAAAAAAATTAAAAAAGTTAAATTAGATGAGAGTCATCTACAATCTCTAATAAAAATTTCCACAAAGAGGGATAATCGACATTTTTTTAAAGAAAAGATAAGTGTTAGAAATTTTAAAAATTTGTTTAAAGGTGGGTAGTCCACAACCTTTAAAACACAACAATAGAAGTGGGATAATCCACTCACTTCTAAAAATTGTATGTTAACATTCTTGTCAAACTATCAAGGACTGAATCTCAAAGAAAGAAAATCCTCAATACACTCTTATATCACTAACGAGAACTAGAAAGTCACTTAAAGATGATATAATATTAAACTAGAATGGCTATTGCCAAAAACAAAAAGATTAGAAAGTCTTAAAACAAGACTAAAGACTAGAAAGACATTGATAAGAGTGAAAAAGGCTTTACTCATGCTTCCATATATACTCTCTAACTAGGAGCTACGTAGCAATATTCTATAAGATCTCCAACATGTATTGACTTTGTTAGCCACATGTCTTAACTTGCAAAGCAAGTTATCTATCTATGTGTCACATAATTAGCTTGTTCTACAAGCTAACAATAGGTGGTTAACTTCTTGGCTAAGTTTTTAACCTATATACACATCTAAAGTCAAAACCACATCTATGAAGCTTCTAGTAAGCTTTTTTAGAAGACTTTATGAAATTAATCTATATTTACCTACTTCTACCTAATCATATAAATAATTATTGAGATAGATGTATATATCCATGACAATAGGTTTCAAGTGCTCTATAGATTGCGCCAAAATTTATTTTTCAAATATAAGTTGTCAACATTGTAGATCGCCATAGTATAAAGTTACAACAATCTAAGTAGTCTAATTTGGATTTAAGTCAAATTAAGAGTCTATTCTTGGTTAAGAATATTTGAGCGAGTTGTTAGTCTCTTGGAATTGCGTCTTAAGTATAAGTTGTTTCAGATATACAACAAGGCTGCAATAAAACAAAGAAACTCTAATGGATAGACAATATGGCTATTGGATGATCTTAGATCAGGTGCCAACTTTAAAAGATATTGGGGCAAGTTTGGCCTTGACTCAAAAAAGAATAAAGGGACTTTAATTAAATTTTTTAAATTTTTTTATTTTCAATTTTGAATTTTAAAAAAAAATCTTATAATTTTTAATTTATACCTTAATGTATATAAATATATTTATTATTATTCAATAAATTTATAAATTCTATTATCATAATTATTTCTTAATTTAAATAATTAATTATAATAAAATTTTTATTTAAAGATATAAAATTTTAAAAGAATTATATTACTTCACTAATTCTAATCACTAATACTTTCAAATAAAGCATTTATTAGTATACAAAGTCTAATTTGGATAAAATTTTATTAAAGTATTATTTTATATGATATAATGATGTAAAACTTCTTTTTTTTTGAATATTTATTTATTTATTTATTTATTATTAATTAATTTTCCAAAATAAGTAGTTTCAATTCAATATATTAAGATTTTAATTTTCTATTATCACAAATATTCTTCTTTAAGAATTATTACAAGATTCTATTTGTAACCATGATATTAGAATATAATTTCATCATTCTATAATCTAGCCAATACTACCTTATTTGTAATAAAAAAAAATTAAAAAGAGTCATGCAAATTCAAAAAGAGATGTGAAGTTTAATACTAGTGCATCATCCATCTTTTAAGTATTCTTTCAAGAATGAATGAAAAAAAAAAAAAAAAAAAAAAAAAAAAAAAAACCTATTTTATTTCAGGTTCTTCTATGGAGGGAACTTTTCCAACTTAAATTTTTTTTTAAAAAAAAAAAAAAAAAAAAAAAAAAAAACATTCTAATAAGATACAAATTAATAAAACATAAGATAAACTTTTACATGTCCCTTATGTAACATGGTTTAAACCTCAATTAAGATTCATCCTTCTAGACACACACATCCATATATCAACGAATGATAAACATATGGATGATAGTTGGTGTCGACAAGGCGAGGCTCCGCCGGATCCCATGACCGCAGTGGTGGACACGGCTACCGGCAGTAGGTCATCAATTCCGAGGAGGAGAGCTTCCAGGAAAGAGCTCTGACATTCTCACACGCATCTCTGAAGCCGTGTCGGTGAGCCATTCTGACATAACGCATTTCCGGTGCCTTTCCTGAATGGGACTTGTGCTCCGTTGCGCCGCACTTGTTCATCGCTAGTTTCTCCCCTGAGTTAGGTACACTACCGATCATGTTTGCTACCGCTTCGTGACCTACTGGATTAGCCAGTTTTTGTTGGGTAAGTGGACATCAACAAGCATTAAAAAACAAACCAGGGTTGGGTTAGGTGAGACAGAGGAGGCACAGAGCCGCACAATGCTTCCCCACATGTCGCACAAACGATCGTCGTCGACGGATTTGATCTGACATGTATATATATATATATATATATATATATATAGTGGCCTTTCCTTGATTGTTTTGTGGCTCCGAGATTGGCCGAGTGTAGGTAAGCGTTGCGCGGTGGTTTTATGGTTTTTACTTTAACAGGAAACATCTTGGTTGTGTTTTCACGGATGTGGCTTTTGGGGAATTTGACACCAGCGTAAAAAAGCTGTCGATCCTCCCTGTTCATCTTCCCCGTGAAATTGCCTTGTTGCGTTTGCCGCATCGGTGTGAGAAGTCGGTAAAGATTCGCGGATTGCATTTGAATGATTCCAATGGAGTTACGGCGAAGGGAGAGTCTGCATCGTTTCTGTGAAGATTACCACCGGCAGTGATTTCGAAGACTGCTCTGGAACTTAATACAGCATCGGAGAAATTGTCAGAGTCGGTTTGGAGTCGTGGAATGCAAGGAGTGGGAGTTGGGAATGGCTTGAAGGGGTTTGGGATTCTGCATGTATGTGCGTACAAGTGATGAGGAAGGGCAGAGATTATTGCGAGGTGGTGAGTGCAGATCCATTCGATGGAGAGATAATTGAGGATTGTTCAGATTCGGAGTTTGATGTGGAGCATCCGGACAACTCCGAAGCTGTGAGATTGGAGAGGTAGAACATGCTGGAGCTTTACAGCGGCGACCACCAGCAGCTGAAGCTTGCGTATGAGGATTGGGGGAGATCACACAGTTTGCTGGGGCGACGAGTTGAGCATGGAACTGCGTTGGCGAGCTTTGTTAGGAAAGAAATTTGTCATCTCCTCGGAGTGTTCGTTGTGGTGGAGGGGGTGTTGCTCGTTACTGTGGCGCAAACTAACCTCCTGACGTGCGAGAGCTGGTGGGTTTTCTTCTATTTGTCGTTCCTTGCCTCCGTCGTGCTCCTCATCCCACTTACGCAGAGGATTACGGTGTATTGGAGTCTTCGCAGCAGAATTTCAAACCTACTCTCAGGCTTGGAGGTGCCTCTCAAATTCGCTCATACCTCTCCCTTTTTCTTGGTAGATGTAGGTGTCGACATCAATTCGAATTCTTTGCATTTTGCGGATTTGAAGATTTTTGAAGCATTAGTATTCCGGATGGTTTGTTAGGTCTTGGCTAGACGGATCCACGACATGAAGACTCTGGGACCGTTGAAGAGCACATTCGATTTGAAAACAAAGGATGTTGTTATGTGCGAGATTTTGAAGAAGCCCGGTGTTTCCGCCACCTTAATCATAACGGCGGTTGTTGCTTTGGTTATTCTTTCTGTTGTGTTTCTTCTTCTGCTCGGCATCCGATTTCGTTGCGAAGGATCCATGATCATGCCGCAAAGGTTGCAGACCTTTCTCAATTTCTCCCCAGATTCCTTGAGCAGTCCGTAAATTATCGTGTGGAAGGAAACAACGCGCCAATCAACCTCCTAAATATAGAAGCATTCACAGGAAAAAAGAGTATCAGAAGTCCGTTGCCATTACTTAAAATACAAATCATACGACAGGGTTTAGGGTGGCATTCGGCGCTGCGATTCAATAGATTGCTCATGACTTAGGATTTAAGCCCTTAATTAGGGCGTAAATAGGGTGTAAACCTTAGCTTGTACATATCCAAAATGTCAGATTCACCTCAATCAATAGTTCATGCAGTTTCTTTAAGCAATCACACGGAGCGTGTCTGGAATTGAATCACAATTTTGATCACATTCTTGAGCACAGTCTGAATGGGTAGCTCATTTCCATGAAGTTTGTCTTGCTGTAACCAACGTGTAAATACCTAAGATGAACTATTTATTCTTAGGTGGTAAGAAAGGATATCCTGGAAGTGTCTACCTAGAGTGGGTGTCTTGTGGGTGGACATTCATCGAATTCAAAGGTTCAAGCACGTGTGAAAACCTTTCGCTTCCAAGTTAGTCTTAACCATCCACAAGTGGTGATCTAGGGTGAGGATATTCTCTCAAAAAGCACATTTTGTACACAATGGAGAAAGAGAACTAATGAATGGGACTCAAGACCTCTTGTGCTGCAATACCTCTCATGAATAACGATATAAATAAATAAGAAATTTACATATATATATATATATATATATATGTATGGAGAATTATTCCCCTGCTCATAAACATGTACGAATTCAAATTGGGGGGCAACATGCAAGCGCAAAATCCTCCACCCAGACGTCACCATGTGGATGACCATCCACAAGAAGACTTCCAACTAGAATACATCTGGTATGAGCCAGCAAACTGTTCAGTCAAAGCAATCCAGAACACCTAGTACGAGCTTGCCAAGTGTTCTGTCAAAACATTCTAGAAGAATCTATGCGAATCAACCTGGTTAGACGACGTTGAACGAATTGAATTTAAAAAATATTTGGGGTACACCAAAAGTATGGCGTCTGGTGGGTTGTGATTTTAGAGTACGACTTACAAGATGTTATACCAAGAGATGAGATAAACATGAGGCATAGAGCTAAAGTTGCCACGCAACTCAAATGGGATTGGTTTGAATGAAATTAGAAACAAAACCTGCAAGTGTCTTTTTTCAGTTCAACGGACAATGAGGTACGAAGTTGGTTACAAACGAGCAATAAGTGCTGGAGCCCACCGTGAGGAAGAAGAGAGTCTTGTGTGACAAAGCCTGCAGCATATCATGAAGATTCTACGACCCCTTCTAGGAAGGTTTGTCAACTCCACCTTTCACAGAAATGTGATGCGAGAAACTACTACCATTGCTAAGCAAATTATGATCTAAGAAAACAACCACCACTGTGATGTCGTCATGAAAATGTCTTCGGATGCCGCGCTCGATCTTCTTCAGATCCGAGTACCGCATCTCCCGCTTCTTGGCCGCTTCATGCAGAGCGAATCGGATGAGGCGCTTGGCGATACCAGCGCGAGGGTGATTATGGACGATATCCACGGCCTCCTGGTTGGACAAGTGCTCCCACAACCCATCTGATGCGAAAATTACAAACTCCACATCTGCGCACAGGTCAAATACCTTGATGTCCGGCTCGGCACTCATCACAGGCCTCTGAAGCGGCTCCGGCAGCCGAAACCGGCCGATCAGAGGCTCACGGTTAAATTCGGCTTTCTTCAAATAAACATCGCCGATGGAACGGGAGACTTGGATCAACCCCTTCACACGCCACACTCCGTGCTTCAGCACCACTATGCGCGGGTCATCGGGATGCGCGGCCTGCAGGTCCTGCCTGACAATCTCGACACTGGCGTTGTGCTCAGTAGATATCTCCGTAGCAATTACCGATTGAAGGTGGCGTGAGTATCTTCCGAGCACAGCCTTGGAATCACCCAGGCTGGCGACGTACAGCTTGGACTCCCAAACCACCCCTACCAGACAACAGGAACCGACGGCAGCAATCTGAGGCTTCGTGAGCCATAAATCCTTCACAATTTCCAAAAATCCCTCCTCCGTCTGCTTGAAAGCTTGCCGTAGAACCTCGGCAGACATTCCCCCCTCTTGTGAAGCGAACTTCTGCAAGTGACGGTAGAGACTATCATTGACGTAACGAGACGCCTCGGGACCGCCATGACCGTCGTACACTCCAACAAATGTTCCAAATGGTCCGGTTTCAACTTGGCTCATGTCCTCCAAGATTGCATTTGCCTGAACAGAGGAAATAGAAAATTGTCCTGTGGCATGATCAACCAGGTCCTTGTACCACAGCAGTGGGTCATGGTTATCTCCGCTCTCCTCCCCAATGTGCGTGTACTTTTGCACCGGACGCCAACATGCCATCAACATCTTCATTACCCACTCCACCATCCTTCGAATGCTCCTCCTTACCCAGCTTCTTCATACTTCCACTCCATACCCCCTTCGCTTCTTCCTGTGCATTCGACGCTAAACATTCACTTTTTGCTGCACATTCGCATCTCCTTCCACTTTGTCACGGTACGACCCAAATACAAATGTACAAACACCCCTGATTCTAATGAATGTCTACCTCAAGAGTACAAGCATAGAGGAAAAATTGTGCTCCGCAAACAGTCCTCTGTCCGAAGAATATGCCTTGCACCACAACGCAAATCGTCAATAGTATTCACCAGAAGCTTGTGAACGCGTCCAATAGCGAAAAACGCTCTTCTTGCCACGAATAAGACTGCTTATAACTTCAGTACCGCACCAGCAGCACAAAAACCTGTAACATTGTTTAAAACATGGCATTGCGATGGTTCAGCTATAGACACAAATTATATTTCACTGGAAACACGGTGTAGATCCCTGCATCCAAAACAAGAATATGTCGCAGATATAAAAAGACACAATCCAGACGTCGTTCACAGAAGAAATGACCAAAAACAGAAAGATGGCCTGCATATTCAGCACAGAATGAACAGAGACACCTGAGAAGCTGATGATATCATTCCAATATTATTAAGTTCCACCTACTTTGAAACGATCCCAAAGTAAGACCCAAGATGTATTTCCAAACGATTGGTGTTAGAAGCATCTAGCTTTCCTTCGATTTAACACGATAGGTCACACACTAGACTTATCATCGTGCATCGAATTGACTTAACAGGCTCTAATTGATGTCAGATTCTAAACCAAGAACTTACAGAGAAATTCTAAAGGCGCAAGCAAAGCTCGCTATTTGTTTGGCCGGATTGTTGTCGTATAGGCACGCAATGGCAACAAGTCAAGGTTGCATAAGAGGTTGTATGCCATCTTGTCCCGTTTCCATTACCCTTGCCTGCAGAGCAACAATTTTGCAAATAACCATCCGCATAGGCATACTTTCAGTGTCGTCATATGCCACTGCATGATGGTCAGCCTGTGACAGACCAAGTGAAGAAAACGTAAGAAAAATATCCATGTAAACTCGGAAACCCTCTATAATGTGGTTTCCCATTTCTTAGCCACCGTAACACAAAGAATAGACCCCAAAATAGCCTCAGACAGACCTTCTGAAGTCCATACGCCGCAAGCTCTAAAGGTGTGAATCGCTTTCTAGTGGGCAGTGACCAATACCTCCTGCCTGATACAACTTGGTATCATAAAATTGAGGGGCAAGAAAGCAAATCAGGAATTGCTTCCAGTGTGATGAACTCCGAAGCAAACCTTAAAGTCTTCTGCTACCCTAATCTACGAACCGGACGCACGTCGAGGAAATCCACATTAAAAAAATCAAAAATTCATACAAAACTAAATTAAGAAAAACTCTTAATGATATTCATGATAATTATGATCAAATCAAACCATCACTCAGCAAGCAGAAACCGAAACAGAACCCTAGTAGTCAGTCACATCTTCTTCCTACATCCATCAGCTTGCTTCGACGGAAATCCCGCACCATTAAACTCCAGCTCAAGTCCTACCAGATCGGGTGCCATTGACAGACACCAGAGGGCTGGATCGCTCATCGGCAACAACTTCTAAGAAATAACACAATACTCAACCACATCTTTGCTGGAACTACAGCCCGCTACGGCTTCACAACCTTCGAATCCACAAGCCATCAACCTGTTGTGTTGGTTTCCTTTACTTGCTACAACAATGATCTGGGCAACGCAGCAACCACACAACCCCAATCTCAGCACTTGTTCAGACCCACAAACCCTATTCCGTTCCAGCAGACAACCAGAAACCCTAAACAAAAGAGATTAAATTTACCCACAACACGCCCCAACGACGCGGAAACAGGACATTCCGCAAATAACTAGCTTAGCCCACACCTACAAGTCCCATACCAATCCATACCCACTCCCAAAGTCCCCCGAAACTGATCCCCGACGATATGCAAGCGCATCCAAAATTCTAACTATCAAAGTGCCAATAGCTTCTTAATGCCAATCTACCACGCAATATCGAAAACCTAACCCCAAAACCCCGAACTCAACAGCGAAATGCCATGCACAATCCAATTACGTACACCGACACGACGCCATAATCCATCAATACACCCCAGCCCAAGACATCACATACCCCACTACCCCGCGGATAACCTCACCATCACAACATCCTGCTATCCAGCACCGACGCAGGCATCGCTGAAAGTAGCTGAAATCGCTATAATGACGAAGACGACGATGTCGAAGGCGCGGCCTTTCCGCGCTCAATCGCACCAAGAAGAGCCGCAACGCATCCTCACATGAACCGCAGGCATGCTCCGCTCCACCACCACCACCACCAAAACAACCCTCAATGGACCTTATTCGCGTCCCCTTCCCCTCTCTCTTGCTCTCCAAGGGACTAAGACCCGAGTTCTCTACAGTACGCAAACCACCGAACCCCAGGAATCGTAACGAACCCTAAAATACTCGTGAAAGCGCGCACCAGCTCGGACAGGAGGGAGCTTGCACAAGAAACGTTCCTTCGATAAAAAAATAAATACCTGATAACTTCGCCGCGGTAACAGACAAACAACCGTGGTAAATGACAAAACAGGTGGGTGGGCGGGGGGGGACGAAGAAGAAGAAGAAGAGATCGATCGGTTGATGACGATGCGGTGTTCGCAGGTGCTCGAAGGAAGATCGCAGATCACGAAGTGAAGATGATGGTCAATGTTAAGATGGATCAATGGACTGGTGGCTGCCTGTTACTTGGGGAGTGGGCAACGGGAAGCGACGAAGCTGGAGTGACGCGGACGTGACGGGATGATGCTGCCTCCACGATGATTCCGCTGCTTCCTCTCCCTTGCTTCGTATTTCTACAATATAATCAATCGATTCCTCTCTCTGCAAATTCGATCCCCGTCCTCCGTCCCACTAAATTTGGTCGCGGATCTCCTGCGAGACGAGTCGACGATCGAACGTCGGAACAAAATTTTCCCTCGATCAGCGTTTCCCCGCCCCTACGCGGTCTGTCTCTCTCCGCTACGGCACTTCATTCATCCATTCGATGGGTGCCTTCTGTTCATCCTTGGTAGATGGATGAAGGTAGGTGGAAAGTGCGGAACACACGAGGCCGACAAATGTTTCGAAGCCGTGTTCATATTATTACTACTACTATTAATATTATGATTATTAGGGTTATTTCCATCAGTGCTGGTTGAGCTTCGCTTGTTGACACTGTTGTGAAATTATCTTCGTGTCATTGGATTTCAAATGTGTTGATAGAATTATTTTTTCTGTTGTTGGATGTAGAAACTGTTTAAGTAAATTTCAATACATAATTCTTTTTTGTTTCTGTTCATTTGTCTTGTGCACAGATAGTTATTGTGGATTATGGTTAATATTTTGATTGATAAGGTACGAGTAAAATCTTAACCAATAGGAGGGCTGGCCTGTATCATCTGATTTTTTTTCCAATTTTTTAATCTTTGGCATAAATTTCTTAATTTGGACTTTTAGTTTAATACATATACTTAGATGGATATATGATTTAATTACAAGCTTAAATTCACATCAAAAAATAAAAGCTGTTCTTCTTATTAAAGAATAATACATAAATATAATATAATTGAATGATATACTTCAATTAGAAGCTTAGAGCTACATCAACATGGATAAGAGATAAACAAATAAATAAATGAATAAATCAAATAAAATAAAATGTTAACAAAAGAACATGGTCTTGCAATAAAGGACTAATATAATTGGAATTTGGTTTATAATGTTATTTATGTAGTTTTGATATTTAAGAATGATTCTAAACATACTAAGAATTCATAAGTAAGACTAAAGAATACTATTTTTATATATGTATATATATATATATATATAGAGAGAGAGAGAGAGAGAGAAAAAAAAAATATGTCTATTTTATATTTTAAAAATTGGTGTCTATCCTTAAATTCTCTAATTAGTTGAATTCCAATTGATACATGATTGGCTCATTTCTTTTATTTTATTTATGTCTTTTTGAAATATCTGCCAACAAATATATGAAATTTAATTGAAAATTTTGACAAAGACTATGGCAAAATACTTTGAAAGAGTTTGCAAAAATTATAGACACAAATTCAGCCAATAATTAATCAGATTTTCCAATATTTTCAAAGATCTTCTGATATTATAGTCCATTCATGATGACAAATTTTACTGCCTGATAAATTCCTTTTTGAGCACAACAATTATTTAGCTTGTTAAATGAGTCTCCTTTATAGCATACGGATATGATTTTATAAATTTTTAATAAGATATATTTTTAAAATATATTCTATTATATGTATATCCCTTAATTATAAAATAATTCTTTATCATAGAATATAATGATGATGAATTAAATCTACAAGATAATTTAAAAAGATGTTTTCTTTCCTGTTGTGAAACGCTTAACAGAAAATATTATTTTTGTAGAATATTATTATTTTATTTTCCTTCCTTACACATGTATTTGATAATTCTAGATATTTTATAATTTATTATAAGTAAACAAAAAAAATTGGAACAAAACAAAAACCCATTATGTACTATCCATAATTTACTTAATTGTGAAATTTCATGTTTTTTGAATCATTGCTTTTAAAAAAAATCTCATTCACACTTTTGATTAAGTTTTGTTTTTTTTATTGTCTATTTGATCTTTATTTTTTGGTTTGGCTGTAATAGTACAAAAAATAACTTTAAATTTTAAAACTTTTTTAGAATTATACAACCAAACACTACCAAAATTGAATAAAATGAGGTCTTTTAACACAAATCTCTTTGTCTTACTAGACCCTATTCAACTTTCCTTTAAAAATTGATATTCCTTCGATTGTAATTTACTTAAGAAGTTGCAATTAAAAAAATTCCTTCCTTCTATTTGGAATGATCATTACTTAACAGTAGAACACATATTACTATTTTGAGTATTGTAATACATAACAATAATTACACATTTCAAAAATTATACAAAAAATTTCTTGTGTAATTTTCTATGTAATACTATGTAATGTGAAGCACAGTAAAAAAATTTGAAATGCAATGCAAGACAAATACATATAAATTTTTAATTTTTTTTTAAATATCTAAAAATACTCTCACTTTGCAATGCAAAACTTGATAACATGATTTAAAAAGAATGGTGAGCATGATTTTTGAAATCTTTGAAGTTATGTCAAGTTTTTCTCTAAATTCAAATCATAAACTTATCCTCATTTTATACTCTCACTTACAAATTCTTTGACAAAAGTTCAAATATAATGCATAGATATCCCTAGTATATAAAATAAAAACTTTGTATAGATGCATGTTGCAAGTACAGAATGCAACTTCAAGAAAGGACAATTTTTTTGCAATTATGCCTTCTTTTTCATCAAAGACCAAACTTCATCTTCAATTGCATTGTGTATATGCAACAAATAATATATTACTAAATCCATTCATGTTCAATTAAACTTCAGCATGACACATTTCATTAATCACATTCAATTAATCACATTTGTAATGGTTACACCATACTGCAATCCTTGACCATCATATCATGCTTGCCGTATCCTTAAGATCTTATTCATAAATTCATTACCTACAATCTCAAAATACTTCTTTTTCAAAAGATAATATCCAATAATAACACTCTATAGGAAGAACCATCAACATCAATACCATAATCTCTAAATTCTATACAACATATATCTTGAGCCAAAACCTACAACATCAATCCTAGCAAGTAATGCTCTAATTGACATAATTGTACTAAAATTAAATTACATATAGAAATGTGATCATCAATATCAAATAATAATTTGAAAGACTTTGAGACCTCAAATACCTAAATCATAAGGGAGAGAGGAAGAGAGAAAAGATTTACAATCTAATGTTAAAGAAAGATTGAGCCTTTTGAATTAAGGCCAAAAAATTAGAAGAACACCAACTCACCAAGATGCATGTCATTCTTGCAGCTCCAATTTAAAATACCTTGTAAACTTTGTGAACCTCCAATGATCAATCATAAAATGTCTTATAGACTCAAAACTTATGAATCAGATGTCAGTATAGAAATTTGCTAGATACAATGATTAAGCCTGAAACTTATGAATTTTGTATTGATGTTTATATATGATATCAAGGACATGAATTATAAAGAAAGAAAATCTCAATATACTCTTATGTCATTCAAAAGAACTAAAAAATCACTTGAAAATGTTATAATATTAAACTAAAATAGTTGTTGTAAAAAATAAAAAGACTAAAAAGTCTTGAAACAAAACTAAAGACTAAAAAGGCATTGTCAAGAGTGAAGAAGGCTTCACTCTTGCCTCCATAGATACTATTAACTATGAGTTACATGGTGGTATCCCATAAAACCTCGAAAACGTGTTGATTTTGTAAGACATGTATCTTAACTTGTAAGGCAAGTTTTCTACATGTGTATTATATAATTAGCTTATTCTGCAAGATATCAATATATTGTTAACTTATTGACCAAATTTCTAATCTACTAATCAACTATAAATACATGTAAAGTCAATGCAGCATCTATGAAGCATTTAGAAAGTTTTTTTAAAAAATATTATAAAATAAATATATATTTATTTAATTTTATTTAATTATATAAGTAAATATTAGAATAAATATGTATGTCTATGATATTACCCTCTTTTTAGAGATGAGTTCTACAAGGAGCAGTCATCATATATTGATGAAATCCAAGATGCGACAAATTGTATTTGCTAAGGATTTTGATCTTTGTTTTCTTTGAAGATGGTTGATAGGTCCTCTAAGCTATTGATAGTGTCTCATATTAAGGCAAGAAGACCATCCTATTATTTGATCATTGTTGAAGTCTTTATAACTTCCTTCAAATAAAATATTTAGAATATTGTCAAAAGTTTGTTCTGACCTTTAATAAAATCACCAAATATTAGCAGTCTCTTCTAAGGTCATGATACAAAATACATTATATTTTTGACATTTATTTAAAGAAGGACATGTTATTCATGACGATCTTTATTTCAATTATATTAAATTAAAAGTTGTAACAATTGTAATGTTTCATTCAATAAGTTAGTAAGTGATAACTCTTAAATTAAATTTTCTTCTTATTAATTTT